GTAATCTGGGGGAGCATGGTATGAAGATACCTAAGACTCAAATAGATTGTATCTGGGGGAGCATGTTGTATGACCTATACAACACCCGTTGTTAGCTCTATAAAGGAGGAATGATTAAACATGGATCTTGTGATAAAGGTCCCGGTAAAACCTATTGCCTCTTGGAAGTGAAAGACTATACAATTAATTTGCCTCTTGGCAATGATAGAGCAACAACAGCCCCATATGAAAGAAGTGCCAGTACCTGAGACACAGATGGTCTCAAGGAATGAGAAAATCAGATACTTCTGATTACTATAAAGTCTATGTTAGTGAAATTCAAATGGAGGTTGATCCCACCTCATTTAAAGCGCTCAATCGAGCTTCAAGAAGTGTCTGCTTATCTAAATGATAAGAGACAATGTGAGATGAAATGAAATTGGTGAATTCTGACGATGTTCGGGACTCATGAGTAATTTCCAATGGAGCCAAAACAGTAGGCTGTAAAGAGTCTACAAGGTCAATGTGACTTCAAAGGAAATATGTAAAGGTGTAAAACACGACTAAAATTGAAAGGTTTTTGCGCATTTTACACTGAATAGATTACAATGAGTATTGGTAGCACATCATGATCTGAGTTACATCAGATGAAAGATATTATGATCTGAGTTACATCAGATGAAAATAAAGAACACAGGGGATACTGCCTGAAGAAGTCTTTTATGGACTAAAGCAATCAAATGTTGTTTTGGGTTAAAGAAAATGAGAGGACAATTGTGTTTGTATAAAGTTATAGAATGGGAATTTCATTTCCTATATCTTGTACATGCGGATAACATTCTGCTTGTTAGTAGTGATGTTAATTCGACTGCAGGAGGAAAAGAAGTTCTTGTCCTCAAAGTTCAAAAGAATGTCTCTCATTATAAGGATCGAGATTCACCTAGAAAAGAATAGAAGGGGTATTAGGGGTGTCGCATGGGCATGCTAAGGAAAGTTTCTAAAGTATGCATGCGAGAAAACCTACACCTGTTCTTATAGTAAAGGGTAATGATTTTGGGAACTTTAGTGTTCCAAAAGTCAATACAAATAGACCAAATGAATATGATACCATATGCTTCAGCTGTTGGAAGCTTAATGAATGCAAAAGTATAACATTACAGTGACACAGTTCACGTAACCGGGTTGTTTTGGTAATGTCCAGTCCAGATATAGATCACTGGAATGGAGTCAAAAATATTGGCCTCATGCTAAAAGGAGCAAGAGTTCTCGAAAGGTTGTGAATACAGAAATAGAACTTGTGAAATATACAGCGAAATCCACAATTGTCGCTGACTTTCACACTTGGAGTTTTTGTGTGGAAAAACTCTAAAGAATGAATCAATTATCGTTAATATGATGTAAAGATAATGTACAACATGATATGAGGCTGAGGGACAGGCAAAAAGGTTAAGGAAACATGTACCCGAAGTTGATAATGGTTGACAACAACAATAACCATTAAGTAATTCGCTCCTATGACAACGAGTCAAGTGTGGTGCCAAACACATTGACACAGAGTTATACGTTGTTAAGGAGAAAGTCCGGAATTATGTTGAAATGCTTAGAGCATGAAAGCAACAGACAAGTATTTGCAGATCTGCTTATTAAAGGCTTACCGCCCAGTGTGTTCGGAGAACACACATTCGACATGGGTTTTAGGGTATAGTCTAAGATTTCCGGACAATAAAAGGGCCCAAGGTTAAAGAATCTGTTTCAAAACAGAGGAGTGTGTTGTAGGTATTGATTCTATCGGGAATGAACCGTGATGATGAGACATGCTCTACATGCAAATCTGTGATGGAACGAGTACTTTGAAAAGAGTTATTTCAAAGTATAAAGTTAAAAGTATATGTTGAGATCAAGGGGGGGAATGTTAGATTGATCTCTCCTCCAATGGGCCCAACGGCTCATTGGGCCCTTGACCCACGCCTTGATCGGGGGCGTCCAGCCCAAGCAAGGCTGGTGGGCCCCTGTCGCACAGTGCTATAAAGAGGAGGTGGGGACCAGGGCAAAGAGTACGAGGTTCGTCGCCGCCACTGTTCCCCACTCCTAACCCTAGTCCGATCCAGAGGAGGCACTGAAGCGATGGGAAGCGCGACCAGCCACTTCACCATCGACCTCTACGCCAAGCTCCCATCCGTTCACCACCGGCACTGGGAGCTCCTCGAGACAAGGAGAAGGTAATCTCCTCACGACACCGTCAGTCCTAGTCTACCCGATCCCACAGACTCCTATCACAGCCTGCAGTTCCTCTCAGCGTTCAGCATTTCTAACAATGACCTAGAAGGCCCTATTCCATCTGGAGGTCAGTTTAACACATTTCAGGCTTCCAGCTTCGACGGGAACAACAAGCTCTGTGGCGCTATGCTCATTCACAGATGTGCTTCGGCTAAAGCGCGTCCAGCCAACATTGTGTCAACCAAACAGACTGGCTTCAAGGCCGCCTTCGCGATTGCCTTCGGCGCGTTTTTTGGTGTAGGGGTGTTGTATGATCAGATAGTCTTGTCAAGGTATTTCGGCTAGTACAACTCCAATTTTTATATCGGTTTATTTATTTATCTCAGAGTTGAGATTAGGCTACTATTCAGGTTTCGCAACATTCCAGAGAAACTCATCTAGGTGTGAGTCATCATTATATATAGTTCTATACTAGTAGAATCTAGGGTGAGGAGTGATTCCAGTTGGTGGAGGTGTAAAATTGCGAGACTGTTAGTACTGAAGCATTATAAATGTATCTGAAACTCATCTTGTTGGTGTTCCATTATATTATTATTTTCAGGAAAACGAATTATTTACTGCAACTTTATCTACCACAATTTACATTGCTTCCGGGGCAATAACATCACGCATTCGAGGCATGCTAAATCCTTGGGTATAACCTATACGAGTAAGTAACCACTGCTATCACAAAACAGCACGCTCAAAAATCCCTCACGAAATCTTCTTGGGATAACAGAGCACATCTCAAGGTCTAAATAGTAAATACGCATAGAAAATTTAGCAGCAGAGTATTTTCGCAGGATGTACCTCGGCAGAGGACGCCCCTCTACTGCTGTCCTAGTCTCCGCCTTCTGTCCACCGGCGCACGCCCGACCGCCGGGGGTCGACTGGCCATGAATTGCTGCTTCACGCCCTCGCGGGGAGCTGCGGAGCCAGAGGAAGGTGGCGGAGCGTGCCCCTCGGCCCTGAGTTGATCCATTACATGCCTCGCGTCCAGCCACCGGGCGCCGCAGCACCGGTCCACCGAGCCGTCGGCCACCGGTGAACTGGGTCGCCGCCTATGCGAAGCTGGTTTTGGGTTTCGTATGATTTTTTTTCTTTTCATTATTATTGAGAACAATGGGTTTCGTGAAATGGGTGGGATAGGCCGATAGGAGATGGGCCGTCAGCGCAAGCGGGCCGGCCTGTAGGTGGACAGACTTTAAGTCAGGTCACTCGGGCTCCGCCGGTGGCAGGCCTCTTCTTCGGCTCACAAAGGCTTGGAGGTAGTATGTTGCTCGTCCAGTTATCAGCATATAGATGTCTCAAAAAAAAAAAGTTATCAGCATATATAGATTCGAAAGAACATGCATGTCTGATAGCTTCATTATCTCGCAGACAAGGGGTAAAAAGAAAGGCAGGAATTTGTCTTCGTCCAGTCCCTGCCTGAACCAGAACCTGAACGGATTGTATAACACTTGATACAGAAGAAAACCCAACAGTAATGCTAGAGCTACACCTAGGACAGAGCATCAGCAGTGTGAGGATCCCAGTACTAATTCACCAACAGAGAGCAGTGCACTTGAATTACCGAAGGATTGAAGCTTGTCGATGGAGAATTTGAGAGGAACTAGAGGAAGAAGAAGAACTTTATGCCTAAGCCAAGCCTTCCGTCCAGTTCCAAGCCAAGTTGTGTGCAGCGGCCTCCCTCTGTAGTATATGTAGTCCATCTCCTTCATGGGCTGGGCAGTGGTCGAGAGCCCAGCGAGGCCCAGGTTGCTGACATCCACAACATCATCTCAAAATAAAGCAAAACTGCACCAAATGGAAATGTGATTCTTAACTTAACACCAATCATTCAACTGAACTAATTAACAATCCGTGCAGCGCATCGCCAGCTGCTTCCGCTCTAAGGACCATATCCACACAAGCATCAAAAGATCAGAACCAAGTAATCAATGATTTTGCTACTCGCCTGCCATCATCTAAAGAAAATCTGCCACTCTCACGCGCTATCCAGTTTACTTTGAACTGCTTCCGAGTTCAGATGGCAACCACCAAATCCACAATAATAGTGCACAAGTGGAGCCAGGAGAATGGAAAAAAAACAGCAGCAAACGTAAACATCAGATGCCAGTGGGCAACTAAACACCTCAGGTCAAAGAAGACGGAAGAGACCACATATCCCCCACTTGGCATCGTTCACATATTGACAGATAAGTCAATGATTGCTCTTGACCGAAAGCGCCTTTCACAATAATGCTTCCCATGTACTACTATCAGTGTCAGAAATGATCTTACATTTTGGGACGGAGGGAGTACTATCTTGCTCATCAAATCTTTCGCAAGCCTTCAGCAACTGTTGTTGAATTCTTTCTCAACCTTTTTTCCCCCAAAAAACTGCTTCCTTTACCTGGATTCACGTATTTTCCTGTTAAGCAAAGAATGCATCAAGAAGTGATAATATTTATCAGTATTAGTAAGATTTATTTAGTGAAGGTGGTAACGGTAGATGTCTGCTCAAGTTTAATTGCGATATGCTGTTAAAATTCAACAATGATTGGGTCAAGGATGACCAGAAAAGATAATGTTTTAGCAGGCAGCCAATAGCCAAACGCTGAAACGGCAGTGTGAACTAAGAAGCTGCTGGTGAGCAGGTGTCAGATTTTGTTGACCCCGATTTCTTTCTTTCCCCTCATTCTCTTTCATGATTAGACCATTGATGCCTTACCCAACTAGAGCACAACTTGAGCATCTGGCTTCCACGCTAGTTTCCATACACGATGCGGCCACTCCATTTTCCATACACGATGTGCAGCAGAAAATTAACTTTCTTTGCCCTTGTGCTGCTGATCTCCTTGGCCTTTCCCACCAGTTCTTGCACAGAGAAGGAGAAGGAGTCCCTCCTGCACTTCCTCAGTGGTCTGTCGTCGGACGGTGGCCTCGCCGCGTCCTGGAAGCAGAACGGCGCAGACTGCTGCGAATGGGAAGGGGTCACCTGTGGCGAGGATGGGGCAGTCACAGATGTCTCATTGGCTTTGAAGGGCCTTGAGGGGCGCATAACACCATCCCTCGGCAACCTTGATGGCCTTCTGCGCCTCAACCTGTCCCACAATTCGCTGTCGGGTGGCCTGCCGCTGGAACTGGTGTCGTCCGATAGCATCATCGTCCTTGATGTCAGCTTCAACCGCCTCGGAGGAGACATGCAAGAGCTGCCATCTTCAACCCCATCACGACCTCTTCAGGTACTGAACATCTCAAGCAACTTGTTCACAGGACGGTTTCCATCATCCACCACCTGGGAGGTGATGGACAATCTGGTTGTGCTCAATGCCAGCAATAACAGTTTCACTGGGCAAATACCGGATAATTTCTGCAGCAGCTCGTCATTGTTAGCTGTAGTTGAGCTCTGTTACAACCAATTTACAGGCATCATCCCTCCTGGACTTGGTAACTGCTCCATGCTCAGAGTGCTCAAGGCTGGACACAACAACCTCCGCGGGACTCTCCCAACTGAACTCTTTGATGCTTCCTTACTGGAGTACCTCTCACTTCCTAGCAATGTTCTAGATGGAGTACTAGATGGTGCTCAGATAGTCAAGCTCAGCAATCTAGTTACACTAGACCTAGGAGGGAATAATTTCAGCGGCAAGATTCCGGATTCCATTGGTGAGCTCGAGAGACTAGAAGAGTTGCATTTGGACTACAACAACATATCAGGGGAGCTGCCATCAGCCCTGAGCAACTGCACAAATCTGGTAACAATTAACTTCAAGAGCAACAACCTCAGCGGAGAACTTAGCAAGGTCAACTTCTCCACCCTGCCTAGGCTCAAAACTCTAGATGTTCTGTACAACAACTTCAACGGCAGAGTTCCAGAAAGTTTGTATACCTGCAGCAATCTGACTGCACTGCGGCTATCTGGCAACAACTTACATGGGCAGCTCTCACCAAGAATAGGCAATCTAAAGCACCTCACCTTCCTTTCACTTGCTATAAACTCTTTCACAAACATCACAAATGCGCTTCACATTCTTCAGAGGTGCACCAACCTTAACACACTGCTTATGGGAAGCAGCTTCAGGGGCGAGTTAATGCCAGAGGATGACTTCATTGATGGTTTTGAGAATCTTCAGGTCCTCTCCTTAAATGATTGCTCGTTGTTAGGTAAAATACCTCTTTGGATATCGAAGCTAGCAAAATTAGAGATGTTGATATTATCTGAAAATCAACCACCGGATCAATTCCAGCCTGGATCGAAGACCTAAAGCACCTTTTCTATCTAGACATATCAAACAATAGCCTCACTGGAGAAATTCCAACAAACCTGCTGGATATGCAAATGTTGCAGTCAGAGAAGACTACAACCAGCTTAGATCCGAGGGTCTTCGAACTACCAGTTTATAAGGGTCCATCACTTCAGTACCGCATACCCATTGCTTTCGCCGAAGTGCTGGATCTAAGCGACAATAAATTAACTGGTGAGATCCCTGCCGAGATCGGCCAGCTGAAATCCCTTCTTTCCCTCAATTTGAGCTTCAATGCCCTAACAGGACAGATCCCAATATCTGTATGCAATCTCACAAACCTGCACGTACTGGACTTCTCTAGCAACAATCTCATTGGTGCAATACCAGCTGCATTGAACAACCTGCACTTCCTTTCAGCATTCAACATTTCTTACAATGACCTAGAAGGTCCTATCCCATACGGAGGTCAGGTTTACACATTCCCAAATTCTAGCTTCGATGGGAATCCAAAGCTCTGTGGCTCTATGCTCACTCACAAATGTGATCCAGCTTCAACACGTCCGCCCACCACTATGGCAACCAAACAAACTGACTACAAGGCCGCCTTCGCGATTGCCTTCAGCGCGTTCTTTGGTGTAGGGGTGTTGTATGATCAGCTAGTCTTATCAAGGTTTTTGCGCTAGGACTGTCCACCTTCCAGATCGGTCTATCTCCGCTTCTTTGGGATCAGGCTGCTATTCGGTTTAGCAAAATGCCCATCGAACAAGCTTCCCGAGGTTCAAGTCATAACTAGAGTTACAAAAATATTCTAGCTTGAAGCGTGATTCCATTTCGTCGAGATTTACAAGTATGTAAAAATGTAAGGCTGTTAGCTGAAGCTTTCTGTACTTGTAACCCATCCCATATTGTTGGTGTTCCGTGTATTTTCTTCTTCTTTCAGGAAAAGTGGAAAACGAATTCTGTACTGAAACTTCAATTCTCACAGTTCACTTTGCTTCATGCGAAATCAGTATACTACTACACTAAACAAGATGAACTGGTGTAGTATGGTGCATACGACGAAGTCACTGTTATCACAGAACAGCATGTCAAAAATCCATCACAAAATCTTCTTAGAACAAGCACAATAGTACTACACTGAACAGATTTGGTAAGCAGCACATCTCAAAAAATAAACCGTCCGTGGCAGGTGTTTTTTTTAGGCCGTACCTCCGCACAGCGCGTCACCGGACTGCTGTCCTCCCGACGGCATCCGCCCGGCGGCGCGCGTTGCGAGCTCCACGATTCCGGGGTTCCCGGGCCGTTGCCTCGCCCTCGCCCTCGCGGGGAACTGCGGAGCAAGGCGACGGGACGTGCCTCTGGGTCCCGAGCTGATTTACTAGTACATGCCTAGCCCCCGGCCACCCGGCTCCGCAGCACGGACTCACCGAGCCGTCGCCCCGCCGGCCGCCGCATTGCCAAGCTGCTTGGAAGCTGGTACTTCCGTTTCGAGTTTCAGTGTTGAGTTGAGATAGGCCGATATATGGGCGTGCTAGGTCGCGAGAGCTATTTCTCGCTTAGTGCGAGAGTAGCTTCCGTCTCGCTGCAGGTTTTCTCCTGGCTATCGCATATGGGCCGGCCTGGTAAGGGTTTCAGGGACCGGTTCGGGCCTGTTTTCGAAGCTTCGCGTATTTTTTTTAACCTTTTTTCCCTCTGTGTGTTCTTTTGTAGGTTTTCGTCTGTTTTTTCTTTGGGTTTTCAGTTACTTTGTTCCTCATCAGTTTTCTTCAGGTTTTCCTTCTTTTTTCCCTTTTTATGGAACACAGGTTTATTATTTTTTCACATGAATGTACATTTTTCGTATATATCATAAACATTTTCGTAATGCATGTTTAACATTTTTTATATGCAAGATCACATTTTTCCAAATATATCTTTTCATGTCTATTTTTCTCATAGACATGCACGTTTTTGTACACATCATATATATTCTTTTGCAAGTTTAAATTTCTCAAATATATGATTAACATTTTTACAAATATATGTGTTTGATGACTACCTTTTTTACATTTTTTTATACACGTTTAACATTTTTAAAACATATTTGAACATTTTTAAAATACATAGTTACCATTTAAAAAAATTGTGTTTCATGACTACTCTTTTTATACACATTGTATATTTTTCGTATATATCAAGATTTTTTTTCAAAATACATTTAACATTTTTTAAATATATGACTAACTTTTTTTTGGTACACGATTAACATTTTTGTATAGAACTAGAAAAACAATACTCCCCCAATCCATATTAATTGACACAGAAAGAGATTCCACACGTTCCTCTTGGGCTCGATCTGAAATCGATCCCGAAAGAGATTCAACATGTTCCTCTTGAGCTCGATTTGACATCGAGACGAAGGGTAGCAGATTTAGGGTCTGATCTGACATCGAGATGGAATATTCTCACGGTCATTCTGGCCCTGATCCGACATCATGTCCGAGGAGAGCGGCTACGGGATCCGACCTAAGGTCAATCCCGGTAGAGGTTTCTCACACTCTCCCAAAGTTTAATGTGACAACACGACTAGGGAAAACGGCTCCGGGACCCGATCTGACATCGATCCCGGGGAAGGCTTCTCACCCTCCTCCTTGGCTAGATCCGACATCAAGGCCAAGGGAAGCGGCCCGTGCCGCTCCTCGACCTAGCGTGAATCCAAGCCCGAGAAGATCAGTTCTCCGTGAAGATCCACATTGTACTCCATGCTAATGAATCTCATGATCCGACCTGGAGCAAAGGACTCGACCTGGACGAGGTGGCTAGCTGAGTTAGGGATGTGGTTGACGCCGCCGAAGACAAGCATATGGCCCGCCACAAGGTGCGTTGCTTTCGATCTAAGTGTTGATCTTGACTCTCATCGATCCGCGACGATCACCTAGCGAGACCTGTATTGGCCACCATTGACAGAGCTAAATCAAGAATATCTTAGGGTAAGCTAGGCATCTAGGAGCAATGGTAACAAAGACACAGGGTTTGCGCAGGTTCAGACTCTCCAAAGAGATAATACCCTATGTCCTCCTTGTGATTATTGCGTTGGAGTGTGTATAGAGGTAATCTACCATGAGATTGTATGATCTAACTTGTCTATTATGAGCATGGCCCCTTAGTTTATATAGGTACCGGAGGGTCCTAGGGTACAAGATCCTAGTCAGCTACGTATGGGGAGGCATGGTCCTCCACAAATCAGCGTCTTGGAGCATACGTGAAGCCTTCTGGATCTTCCTTATAATCATCATGGGCTACTCGAAGTGGCCCAGGACGCGACCGACAAGGAGTCCTCAGCCCAGCCCACCAGGCTGGGAGGCGACATGGTGAGAGGCCCCTTAGTGGGACACCATCACCTCCTCCTCGACACGTTTTGGGTACACACGGTGGAGATCCACCATGTGCACCTCGTCGGCTTGCTCCGCCTCAAGGTGCTCGCTAGCCTCCCGATCTTTCTGTATTGGCCACCCGCGGGTCAACAAGCATCAACTGCGGCAAGCTGTCGGGGAAGTTACCCCGGGCGTTGGCGTCATGGAGATGCATCGACATTAGGTCATATCCTCGTGCCGCCTGCATCACTGAGTGGCAAGATCCCGTCCAAATCTTCTCATGTGTTTCACAGTTGGTGATCTCCAGTCCCCCACCGATGCTGCCGCACGCCGATATGTTTCATCTGCGGTGACGACGACGATGGGAGGTAGGGGAAGCGGGAACCACCGTCGCGGGAGGAGGAAGCGTCACCGCGGCCACGGGCTCGGGACTGCGCGGATCCGCTGATCCACGCTTCTAATCAGTGGCGGGGAGTGAAGGAGGCTAGATCCAGCCATTTTTTACGGCGGGGGCTTGGGTTGCGGTGGAATGGAAGAGGAGGAGAGGTTGGATGAGGAGAAATTTTACTCCACGGGTGGGCGACCAGGTATATTTAAGGGTCACGGACGCCAAGGAGTAAAATATATCCTCCATACCAGTTATAAGGGTTCGGTTAGGTGCACTTTAGAGGAGAAAACGTGAATTTATCCTCGTCTAACGGATTATAAGGATTGGTTGGAGATGCTCTAAGCCATGATTTTTGTTGTTGAGGACCGAGGGAGCCATCTAGGTCCATGTTTATGATTATCACAATAAGTTTCCCAAATTGTGATCCATCTGAAGAAGGCCCCCGACTCCCGTGACGCTCCCCCGCGGGGCGCCCCGGGAGCAAACCCTAGCCGCTGGAGTAGCTACAATCCCGCCCCTGCTCCCCCTCGCCGCCGCCGGAAGGCGCCGCCGGGCAAAGCCCGCACGGCGTAGGCGGCGGCGGGGCCTCCTTCTTCCTCCAGCTGTTCTGAGCGGCGCGGGGCAACTCGACCAGTGGAGGTGCGGGGCGGTACGGTAGCCCGGAGGTTCATGGCGCGGCGGTGCACGCGTGGCCGGTGCCTGCGTCTGGGCGGCGCTGCAGGCGGCGCATCCGGCCCGGGCGTGCTGACCCTCATAGGCTGCTGCGACTGGGTGCTCGCGGGTCTGGATCGGCCGGTGGCGCGGCGGCCGGATCTGGCGAGGAGGTGAGGCGTGGGGGCCTCCGGAGTGCGCACGGTGGGGGATGGCCCTGCTGAGGGCGCGGTGTGCTCGTGGTTGTACTGCAGCAGAGGAGAAGGGTCAGGCAGGAGCGGGTTCGACGGCGCGGAGGCTGTAGGCGGCTCTGTGCGCCAGCGGCCGTGGGCTCCAAGGGGCCGGTGAGTGGCAGATCGGGCCCCGACGTCTAGTTCTGCGGGTGGCTGCGATGCCCGTCGGGCGCATGGGGCTGGCGGTTATCCGGCGTGGACCGGTGGCAACGATGGAGATTTGGGCCCCGATGTCCAGATCTGAAGGTGGTCGCACCGGACGTTGGGCGCGCGAGGCCAGCGGCCGCCGGGCGCGCTACTGCGTTGGTGGTCTGGCTGAGCTTGGTGGTTGGCAATGCAGCGCCGGGTGAAGACCTTGCTGCTAGTCTTGGGCTGGGGCAGGCGACGGCGACGCCTGCGGGCGCCGCTTCCTTAGAAGGCGTTGCTGAGGCGTTTCTGCTCGCTCCACTATGCAAGAATGCTCGGGGGAAACCCTTGATCATCAAGGATCAGGCGATGATGGCGACGTGTGTTGCACCTCTTGGGGCATCGTTCCAGAAGCTTCTTGCCTGCCAGAGGGACTAGTGATAGGTGGGGGATGCCGTTCGTGCTACTTGGTCGTGTCCGTCAGTTAGGCTTCTGTGGCAACGATGACGGCGGTGAGCATTGTCGGAGGTGTGGCATTGGTTGTGGTAGTCGGCTCTTCTTCGGCGTGTCTACAAGATTACCTCGGCTACTTGTTGCTGTGAAGTCGAAGCTACGGTTTGGGCCCTGTTGGCGTACGATGATGGGCGACATGTGGTCTGTTCGGCGATCTTCTCTGACGCCAGCCTTGCCTAATTCTCCATTGTTTCTTTGCCGGAGTCGGAGCTGCGTCGTCCTGTTGTGGGTGGATGGCGATCCGCCGTGTGAGTGTGGTGTTGTCTTGCAACCAATAGGGTTGCGGTTTTCCTTTTTCTTTGATCTTCGGATCCTCCTTATGTTGTTTTTCCGCTGCTTTCTGCTAAATCTAATTAAAGCCAACAATTTGCTGGATCTTTCATAAAAAAAAGTTTCCCAAATAAAAAGGAGTGACAAGT